AGGGTTTCCGAGGAGCAGCTGGTGAGCTTGAACTGCCAGAATTCCGGGTTCAGGGCACTAGTTACAGGGAAAGACGTTCTCTCAGCTCTGGGAGAGGATCATTTTCTCAGTTTATGTACTCTTTGCTGTTTAGTCGACTCCATTCAACTCATAGAGACACCACAGGACAGAGTAGAACCTGCCTCAGAGTTTCCACAGCTGTGAATAATTACAGGCCCCATCTTTTTTTCTGCATAGGTGTTACTTGGTTCTAACCCTGACCTTTCTGTTAGCATCTGAGCTCTTAAACCATGGCGCCACTAGGGTTCCTCAGGTTCTGTAGCCCCAGTTATAACTTAAGTGATTAGGTTTAGGAGAAACCCTATGCTGATCTGTAATAGAACAAAACAGTATATACAAATAGGATTACATCCACAGGTATGAGAGTGGGGAGTCCAACTCAGTTCAGTCTATACACCCTGTCACTCTTTTTTTTTTTTTTAATACATCAGATTTATTTGGAGGGTTGTGCTATTGTGTGCACATTTGCTAACAAAGCAACTGTGTGTGCAATGCAAAACAAGCTGTAAAGGAACAAGAATTAAACAATAAAAAGAACCCAAGTTAAGGCTAACAAGAGTTAGCCTGATGTTTCTTACCTTCACAGCCAAAAGAAATCCTGCTATATTACTGTAAAGTAACATAATAAGGTTAGTACTTTGAGGCAGGAAAGCTTCCTTCTTAGCTTTGACTTCTAAAAGAAATTTACCATTTGAGGAGGTGAGATTTGAGCAGAGATTGAAGGAATGTGGGAGTGATTTTGAAAGCTGTAGGAAAAGAGCATTCCAGGCACGAAGAACAACCAATGCAAACATCTTCAGGTAGAAATGAAGTTGGTGCGTGTAAGGAATAGCAAGAAAGCCCATTGCAACAGTGGAATGAAAGACTTGCAGATGAGATTGTAGAGAAATCCAGGTGCTAGGCCCTTAGGGCCACTTAGGTCAAGGATTGTTTGGATATCCATGTAAAGACCTGCTGTATCATTGGATGTGGTGCCATCTAGTCATTTCTGACTTAATGACCTTATGACCAACAGAACAAAACCTTGCCCAGTCCTGCACCATCCTCACAGTTTTGTTTGAATACATTTATGCAGCCACTATGTCACTTCATTTGGTTGAGGGTCTTCTTTTTTGCTGATCCTCCATTTTACCAAGCATGATGTCCTTTTCCAGGGACATGTACAAAGTACTTGAGACAGTGTCTCACCATCCTTGCCTCTAAGACCATTGTGGCTGCAATTCTAAAACATTAGTTTTTTTCTTTTGGCAGTCTATGGTATAAAGGGAATGGTATTGTATTCATTGTCAAAGAGAGCATTTCAAAATCTATCTTGAAGTTGTCTGCGATATTAGTGCTTACAAGGAAGACCAGTTAATACAAGTTGAAATTGGGTGATTGATTAATCTGTTGTTTTGTAATGTTTCACACGGAGGCTTCTGGAATCAGTATTGGAATAAAGTTACAAGTGGTACTAAGAATTTATCGCCACTGTTTCTGGTTCAACAGCTATTAGTTTTTGGAATCTATATGGAGTCCTGGTGTGGCGCTGTGAGTTAATGCTCCAGACTACAAAGTCGTTTGAACTGCAAGGTCGGTGGTTCAAGCTCACCAGCTTCTCCTTGGAAACCCTATACAGGGTCGCTATGGGTCGGAAACTACTCGACGGCACTTAACAACAACAACAAGTTGTGCATACCTTACTGGTTCTGTTGTCCTGCCTATATACTATCTATTGGTTAACTGAAAATTGAGGCACAATTTAGTTCTAGACCTGAAGGGCGACCAAGTCTCATGGTTTCTACCCTTTTCTGTCTGATCAGTAAGCCTGGTCTTTTTTATGATTTTGAGTTTTGTTCTACCTTTTCCACCAACACTATCCAGGACCTTCTCTAATGTGATCACTTTCCAAGCAATTGATAGTAGTATTGGGGCTCCATTTAGTTCTTCTGGTCTCAAGGTCATTTCATGAACTTTTTGAAGCTGCCTCCTTATACAGCAAACCATTCCTGCATGCACCATTCAGTGACCCTGATTACTTTCTTTGAGTGGTGCAATCATTCTTTCTCTCCTTTTCTGAGTTGTTCTTGTTAAAATAAACTTACTATCCCTTAAGGTTCAGCTTTAATATTTGGAGTTGCCATTATCATTTTGATCGTATGTAGATCTTAAAAGAGCATAATGTGCAAGATTGATATTTTATAACTAGTTACGATAAACTATTGCTTGGTTTTAAGTATAGACTTCAGGGAATATTTTTGATTTACAGTTCGATGGTGGTAGTTGTTTAGTGCCATCGAGTTGGTTCTGACTCATAATGACCCTGTATAGGGTTTCTAAGAGGAGTGGCTGGTGGATTTGAACTATAGTCCTTGCTTATCCTACAGTGCCTCACCAGTACTCCACGGCTTAATGATCATTTCATGGCAAAGTTGCAAGGATTCATTCCAGTCTTCATGGCTCCAGAAAGTCTGGAGTCTGTGAGAATTTGAAATTGTGGTGTGCATTTCCCATCTTTTGATCAGGATTCTTATATAGAATCTTTGATTAAAATGTTGACAAAGGTAGCCATGCACCATTGGGTTTTTCTAGTCTCATGACCCAAGGAGGCAGTTGTTCACAGAAGCAGTTAGGCACACATTCCACTTCTTCCTCCTCTTTCTGGTCCTCCTTTTTTCTCTGTTGCTTCAGGCAAAGCATCTTGCTGTGCTATTTAAAAATACTGACTTTTGACCTATAGTAAAATGCACAAGTTTTTTATAGCTTGGTAAATTTCTGTAAATGTTTTCAACATCTAGATCAAGATATAGACACTTTTACCTAGAAGACTCTCTCATAGTCCTTCCCCACCAATAACTCCCTTTGTTGTTGTTAAGTGCTGTTGAGTAGGTTCTGACTCACAGACCCCCTCTTTTGCTAAAATGATTGAGTTACATAACTTAACCATTTTCACTTTATGTGAACAGACCTATACAGTTGGTATATTAGTGTAGGTACTTCTTTTACATTTAACATTATGTAAGATACATCCTAATTGTTATGTTGAATAACAGCTCTTTTTATGGTTGTGTAGTACATACAAGCCAGTCCCTGGGTTCTGAACAAGATCTATTCTTAACTGTGTCTGAGAATTTGGAGGTCCGTTGGAACAGGTGCAGTTCATATTTAGCCTCTAGGGCAAGAAAAGTGAAGCCATCACAATGATTTAAAAGCTGCACATGCAACAACTCCAGGTGATTGTGATAAACAACTTGTTTCAAGTAGGCGTTGGTTCAGTTTCAGAGTAAAAGCAGATTTACCTAATATTAAAGCGGGCTTCAGAGATGACAGCTAACTACACAGCTTTGAATGTGTGTGGCTCTCCACAGGTTTACCAATAATCCAGTCTCTCACATCAGACACAGTTTTTACTCTTCCGTGACGAATCACCCAATTGTAAAAAAGTTCCTGTCTGTTTCACTTTTGCTTCATTGGCTATGACAGAACTAGTTCAAAGCCTTGCATTGAAGGGACAAGTAGGAGTTGTCTGTTACTTAACCCAGACTGCTTGCAAATTGTTGTATGACTATAGTATAATTTTCTGTTCTGATGATGCGTATTTAGGTTGTTTCTGTTTATTGGTTGCTATGCTGTGGACTCCTGGTGTGGCACTGTAGGATCAGCACTGGAATGTGGACCTTAAGGTGGGCAGTTCAAACACAGCAGCTGCTTCAAGGAAATCTTATACAGGGTTACCGTGAGTTGGAACCGACTCGACGGCACTTAACAATACCAACAACAATGCTGCTGTGAAGGAGTGCTGGTGGCACTATGGTTTAAACATTGGACTGCTAATTGAAAGGTCAGCAATTCAAACTCCCCAGCCACACGTCCTGTGGAGAGAGAGGAGGCTGTTTGCACCCATAAAGATTTACAGTCTCGGAAACCCTAAGAAGCCAACCTACTCTGACCTGTAAGTCACTATGAGTAGGAATTGACTTGATGGCACTGAGTATGCTGCTGAGAATATCTATAAA